GCATCTTCGCGCCCCTACCGCGCTGGCACCTGCAGGTCTACGCGCTCTACGAGGCAGTCGCGGGCTTCGCGGCGCCCGTCGCGGTCATGGGTGTCGCTTGCGGCCACCTGCTCTGCTTCTGGTGGCAGCGCCGGCCCCAGTTCCCTGCCGCCGGGGCTCCCTGCTCGGAGAGCCCGGTCCGCGCCGCTGCGCGCGGTGCGCTGCCCCGGGCCAAGGTGCAGAGCGTGAAGATGAGCCTCGTGCTGTCGCTGCTCTTCGTGGGCTGCGAGCTGCCCTACTTCGCCGCCCGGCTCGCGGCCGCGTGGTCGCCCGGGCCTGCCGGAGACTGGGAGGGAGACGGCCTGGCGGCGGCGCTGCGCGTCGTGTCGGCGGCCAACAGCGCCCTCAACCCTCTGGTCTACCTCTTCTTCCAGGAGGGCGACGGCGCGCTCCGGCGGCGGCTCCGCAGGCGCCTGGGCTCCGCGTGCTGTGCGCGGGAGGGGGTCGACGAGGACAGCGAGGGGCCGGGGGGCCACCAGGCTCTGCACCGCCACCGCTGGCCCCAGCCGCATTATCACCACGCTCGGAGGGACGAGGGCTGCGCGCGCCCGCCCCCGCCGCGCCCCAGACTGCCGCCCTGCTCCTGCGAAAGCGCCTTCTAGGAGCTCCCGGGACGGGGGCAGCTCCTCTGTCGCCGCGGGGCAGCCTGCAGGCACCGTGAGGCGGGCGGGGTCGGCAGGGAGCTCAACCTGCAGGAAGGTCTCCGGAGACCTCCTCCGCGCTGCTGTTCTATTTCCTTCTAATGTTTACATGTGCTACACTTGCCATTTACTTTCCTCCCTCCGGTTTCTCTCGCATTTGCGCATTTGGAGAGATGGAGCCATTGGGAAGGTGTTTAAAAAAAAAGTGACAAGAGTTATTATTTTTGCAGTTCTCTTTCACGTTCCCATCGTGTGCTAGATAAGACCATAAATTGCCGAACTTTCACTATTTGTTGTGTTGTCTTCTCTCTTTTTTGTTGCTTACTTATTCTGCACCGTGCTTAAGCCATGTGTACCTTGGGGAGCAGCAAGTTTGCCACTCCTTCTGGGAGGGAGATACCCACATTGCTCTCCCTGGGGAGAGTGGGATTTGGCCCAATAATCGAGTCAGAAACGCAATCATGCTGCCGCTTCAGTCAGAATAAAAATTTAATAAAAATAAAAAATTTCTTACAGAGCAACTAGGACTTTATTTTAGAAATACTGTTGTGTGTTTTCTCAGAAGAAAATCAACGTAGCTTTTATTTCCAGTCGACCTTCTACTTCACTAGAAGCTGAGATTGTAGGAAGGGAACACAAAAGCTTCCCTTAATTCCTTTCAAGCAGCCTGGATTTTGTAGGGACCGCGGGTCTGTTCCCGGACCAGCTTCCAAAGCTGTGCTGCTCTGTCCAGAGGGAGCCTCTGGGTGCAAAGTCCTGGCCAAGCAGAAAGTGTGAAGGTCGTGTACTGGGGCGGGCCTCACCCTCCCGCAGGAGACTTTCAGTGAGAAAGGAAGCAGAACCCTCTGAATGCAGTGCATGTGTATAAAACTGCTGTCTAAAAATAACTTCAATGCCAACTGATGTGGATTGCTCAGAAAACAAAGTCAGGGAATAGAACTCATCCGTGACCTCCTTCTCTTAACTGTCCTTGGTTCTAGGCAGAACTGGGAGCCCTTAGAAACCACATAGGCACGTGCCTTCCATGACTTTCACCTGAGCTTCTGCAGCTTTCCATGGTAGTTTCTTTTTCACCAACAAATGCAGGACTAAGACACAGAAAGGGGGAATGGTTGGTTAACCTTATTGGTGAAGCCAAGGCTGAAGGCTGTGTTTTGTTCACCAGTAAGGATCCCAAGTGCTGCAACCACACTCGGCACATAATAGGCATTCGATGTGTATCTGTTGCACAGTTTATCCTGTGAGTCAGGCATAGATAGAACAGATAAAATATAAAAGGAAATCTGCATTTAGTGTGGCTTACCTTCCTGCAGAAACTTGACGATGAATATTATGAAGTTAAATATTCTACTTCTCTTTGTTCCTCCCAACCCTGCTGAGGATGTTACAGTCTGCAAAATGCCAGGTAAAGGTCAGCCAGAGAGTGATAGGGTCATTTTTTTGTGAACCCAAGTCTGGGTTACAGAATTATTTCCATTCATTAATAAATATTTATTACCTGTAATGTGCCAGGCATTGGAAATGCTAAGATAAGTACATTTTTCCCTCAAAGACTATAGTCAGATGTGGGGGACAATTACCCTGCAGGGTCACATACTTTAACAGGGGGATTCAGGTCAGCAATGAAGACCACATTTTGTAGCCTGAGGGCTGTGGATTAGGAAAGGCTCACCAAGACAGGCTGACTCAGGGTGACTCATCCTGTAGGGAGTGTGTTCTAGACAGTGGGGATAGCCTCTGTGTACTTAGGGGAGACAGAACATAGCATGGCCAAGCAATGACCATAGTTGAAATGCTTAGCAGTAATGTGCCCAAGGGGACCTGATAGGATATGAGGCCAGGGAGATCCTGCCTGGCCCCGGTGAAGAAAGGTTTGTGTGCCAGGTCTGTGTACCTTATGAAAACAAAGGGTAGCCTTTGAAGAATTTGATCAGAATGGTAATAGAATGAAATTCAAATTTTGGAAAGGTCATTTCAGTGAGAGTATCAAGGACCAACTAATGGAAGGGCGGGACTTCCTAGAAGCAGAGATCAAGCAAAAGCTCAGAGAACCCTCAAAATAAGACCTATTTGTACTGCTAAGAATGTGCTCCACTGAGACAATAAATTTCAGCTGAGTCAGGCATGCTATCAGCTGCAATGGAGAGCACCTTAACAGAAAGCTAATTCAGGTGGCTTACAATTTTCATCTCCTATAACACAAAATCCCGTAGTAGAGATGTTCCAGGGCTAGTTGAGTAGCTCAACTTCATAGTCAGAGCCTGTGATGATTAATTTTGTGCCTCAATTTGACTGGTGAGGGATGCCCCAATAGCAGGTAAAATATAATTTCTGGGTATGCTTGTGTGCTTCCAGAAGAGGTTAATGTTTGAGTTAATAGACTAAGTAAAACAGATCCCTCTTCACCATTGTTGGCAGACATCATCCAGTCGGTTGAGGTCCTAACCAAATAGAACAAAAAGACAGAGGAAGAGCCAATTCACCATTTCTCGTTAACTGGGATATCTATCTTCCCTCGCCCTCAGACAGTGGAGGTCCTGTTTTTGGGCTTTCACCCCATAGCATTTACTCTAGTAGTATAATAGGAAGCTAGGGCACAACCTACCAGTTGAGGATATGTACACACACAACACCCAGGCCTGACATGGGATCAAGCAGAGCCCTGCACCATTACCACTCTTCTGATATGAGAACACACTGAACCTGGCAGCTGATGCCAGTCTTCTAGTGTATATCAAGTGGGACCACCCTGACCAACTACTGACTTTGCTGCCACTGCCCCCTTGTTCTTACAGTTCTTACAGTTCTTACAGTTCCACTTCCAGTACTCCTCTTCTCTCTCTTTTTTTAAAGCACTCTTCTCTTCCTGAGCACTTCATTTGTGCTTCTTCTCCTTTTCCCTTTCTTTTTTTATTTCTGCACAAAAATAAACAATAATCTTTCATATCCACCAATTGCCCTGACCAATTCACTGACAGGGACAAATAAGAGCCTGGAAAACACCACTGGTTCCTTCCCCATCTAATCATAGTAGCACCCCCGACACAGGCCTGGATCTCAGGTCTTTGCAGTTGGACTGAATTACACCACAAACTCTCTCTACTCTGCAGATTTCAAAGTATACTGTGAGCTTCAGAGCCTCCATAATCACATGAGCTAATTCCCATAGTAAAACCAATCTCAATATCTCTGTGTCTCTGTGTGTGTGTGTGTGTGTGTGTGTGTGTGTGTGTGTGTGTGTCTCATGTGTCTGCGTGTCTTTGGTTTTCTCTGAAGAATAAGAATACCATAACTCATATCTTCTTTCCATTCTGCCATCTGAGGCAGTGAACCTGACACTCAGGCCAATTTCCAGCTCCCCTTGAAGTCACAAGACAGCTATTGAGGTTACAGGCATCACATTCCAACACAGCAACATCCAGAAAAAGACAACTTTCTCCTCCTCTCACTCTTCATAAGGATGAAGGAATACATCTTCACAGCTGCCTACAGATTCTCCCATGACTCACTAGCAGAAACATGTCATATGTCCACATGTAAACTTTTCGAGGGACCAGAGCCACTGTGATTGGTGGAACTGAGACTGTGGACTGCATGGAGAGTGGAAAAATGAGGCTCTCTAGGAAAGAACGGAAGAGGGAAGATCTCTAGAAAATCAAGGCTGAAACCTGCAAATAATCCTGCAAGTATTAAACAGACTGGTTTTTACAATCTAACAGGGATTTTCAGCTAACTGTCAGCTAGAAATTTGAGAATTCTCTAGATGGGTAGGAAAAATATAGAATAGCAACCCAAGAAACTGATATGAAATCCTGTTAAACTGATTGTCCCTAGATTCTATAGAAGGTTTAGGTAAGCCCAATTCATAATGAAAGCTTTCTACATATAAGGAACTTCTAATTTTAGCTAAATCTGAAGGTGGATTTAGGTGACTTGGTTGTCATCCCTCGAGGCATTTGTAGGTTAAAGTTGATACATCCTTTTAGAGTGGCCATCCTGTTCATGTTGACTCCCAAAATCCAGATTCCTCTAGACAACCGATAGATTTGGGAGACTATTTCCTACTTAGATTTAGACTCCTGCCAGAGCAGGAGTTTATTTACATCAACAGCTACAGGTAAATAATCAGACTGACCTTGAAATTGCTTCCCAAATGTGCAGAGGAGAAATCAGATCCACAGAATTGGAGTTTAGGAACAATCAAATTGAACCCATGAAATAGAGAAATGCCACCCCCTCCCCCACTGCTGGGTTTTATCCAAGCCACTGCACATAGGTGGAACTGCAGGAGTCCAGGGGACACTTTATACAGATGAAGATGTGAACACCACTATCAGAGTGTGGAGTGGGGTGATGCAGCAATCCTATCATAAAACTTTAAATGCAAAGAAATCTACATCTTTTTTAAAAAAAATCAGCCACACAGTAACATAGAGATAAAATAAGTAAGCATAACCTATGATGTAATCTGAAGCAGGAAGTATGTTGAAAACAGCCAGGACTATAACTAAGTAAACCACAACTAGTGACTGGCCATAAATCATATCCTAAAAATAGAAGAGCCTGGCTCATTTGGAGAAGAGAAGATAGATTTAAAACTTTTTTCTAAATCACTTCCTAGGAAATATGGGTGAAGTTAGAAAATTTGAAGAGTTCTCCCTTTCATTCCTAAAAAATACTCTGACTTGATCACAGGGAGAATATAAACATAAATGATCTTGTTAAAATAAACAGATATTCTGCTGAGTTTGGGGGAAGTGCAATATAATGGAAAGAGCACAGTATCCAGAGTCCATTCAGAACACAAAGAAACTTGGCTTTCACCCTTACATTTGGTAGTGATGTGACTGTTGGGAGAAAGCTTTTTTGTTTGTTTATTTGTTTTACTTTAATTTTGGTGCTGGGGATCAAGCCCAGTGCCTGATACCTGGGAGGTAAATGCTCTACCACTGAGCTATACCCTTACCCTTACTGAATATTTTTTAATTTTGTTTATCTCATTGATAAAATGAAATCATATTATCTCATAGGATTAATGTATGTAAAATACTGGAGTGGGGGTGGAGGAGTCTTGGTTTATCTCTTTTGATTGATGAATTGAGACCATTCACATTGATGGCTATAACTGATACGTACTGACTTATCTTTGTTGTATTATTTTCCTGCTGTTGGTTTCCTTTCTTTCCCTTCTGTTTAATTTTTTGCCTTGCCCAATGGATTCATTCTAATAAGATTCTTGGAATTACTGTCTTTATTGTATTTTTTTAGAATATCTTTCAGAAAATTTTTGGAGTGCTGGTTTGGTGGTCATGAATTTCTTCAGGTGTCCTTTACATGGAAGTATCTTCTTTGTCCATTAATTTTGAAGGATAATCTTGCAAGGTGCATCAATCTGGTTTGGAAGCTGTTTTCTTTCATGGCTTGATATACTTCACTCCAAGCTCTCCTTGACTTAAGGGTTTCATT